GTTTTACGATCATCAAATCTAACTTCTATAATTAAACAATTCAACATATTCCATATTTTTCTATTAATATGATCTTACTCTATCACTAGATGAAGAATTTATTGCTAAATATTTATTTATTAAATAATAAACAAGGTTTAAATGCTCACCTCAATAAAACTTGAAAATATCTAAATTCTAATTTTACAATGACTACAGGCACGATTCTAATAATGAATTTTCCACTAAATAGTTTTCAATCCAAAAGCAATACATAAATTCATGATGGAATCAACAGATAGCGTTTATTAGTTTAGCAGAAACTATCTCATATTAGGCGCCTATCTCATAATAGGGGACTTTCCTCTAAGTAATCGCGATACGCGATTAGAAATTGTACGAAAGAATCGGGTCGCACGTGAATACTTGTCAAGTGCCAATTAGAGTGATATATATTGTAACATTGCTTAGTAACATTAAATTAAAAGTTAGTAATCGTGAAAGTGACTTATTTTATTCCACTTCGTCCTTAGCGAACCCACAATCCGTATCCTATCACTCAAGGATACAACAAACCTTCCTATTCATCAGTCTCAAATCCGGATAATAATTCGCCTGAAAAGACTCAGTCATCTTCCTCAAAGTGATTACTCCTTTCATTTAAAGGAACCAACTCAGTCACCGACCTATAAATTTCTTGAAAATAATCATTTATTTCCCTCTCTAGTAAATGAGTCAGTTTACATCTCTTATCCTAATCTTTCAAATTCGAACAATCTTGAAGATTTGTTCCCTGAAAATATTTAAGCTTTTTCTCCGAAACAGAGGAGTTCTTGATATTTAGAGCTTACCTTACTATTTCCAAAGAATAATAATCCTAGACCCTGAAACCCTTTCACTAACTTGATCTATTTGTTTATACCCTGACCTAGCCACCTTCTCTCCTAATCTCAAGACACATTTTAACTATTTATGCTTACAAATATTTGAATCTCTCCAATTTAATTAAATAAATTTATGTAAATTATGAGATAGGACAAAATTCTAACTATACTTCCCGAGATTCTGTTCAACAACCTTCATAATGAAGTAAAATCACAACATAATATTACCAATTTTACACTTTTAATCTAGCGATGATTTAATTCAATTAAATCTAAAAAATTTAAATTTTTAATTTTAAGAAATTTAAATTATAAGATATAATTTTTAAATTAAGATTTATTTAAAACCAGTTGTATCAATTTATTTTAATTCCACTTTAATTGTATTTTTCCTCTTACAAATCCACACAGTCCCAGGTTATAAGATGTGATTTTCTTGATCTAAAAACGAACCAACGGGCGCACTATTTCAAGCAGAATCATTGCTGTAGACTTTTGTTTGAAATTTAATTCAAGTACGTTTGCATTGTGATACGCTCGATAAGGCATTGATCCACTGAATCGTTAATCCAAGCTCCTTCTATTTGTCTTTTAACTTTCGTGAAATAAAGATTTCTGGGGCTCTGAAGTAACAATTGAATCAATTATTTGTGAGATATATAAATTCAACGGATATTAAACGTTTCTGTCTTTTCAACGTTGTAGCTAAATTTTGCAATGTTGATGCAACATTCACAATTTGATATTAGTATGTATAAATTATATACGTAAATGTACTTAAATAGGCAGATATCTTGTTATACATCAATAATCACACGAAATAAAATAAGAGTATGAATATGTTACACGTGTATCTCAATACACATGTAATCGTACATTGAAATACACGCATACATCTACGTGCCTTTCAAACCGTGTATTTCGATACACGTATACTATTTCGATATTGTGTATTGAATCGTGTATTTCAATATCGGCGTACCTGTGTATTAAAAATTATACGCATTGAAACACAGATATATTAATTACATGTGTACATGTATATCTCTAAAGCCATGATCTCTCAGTATTTCTCTAAATTTCTTAAAGAGTAAAATTTTATTTTTAAAAATTTACTTTAAAATAGGAGAGAGATTTTCTTTCCTTTATGCTTTTAAGTGACTCTTATTTCAAAAGAGTGTAATCTCATTTAAAAAAAAAAGTGAAGATCTATCACTCAGATTCAAAAGTACAATATTTTCACTTTTTTTATAATGACAACATTTTACTCTTTTTTTGGAGTGAGATTTCTCTCCAAGAAATTTAGAGAGCTATATTCGCTCTACGAATTGAACATTTCCGATACTCTGGAATCGTCTTTAATGTCATTATGTCTCCTACAGTTTATCTTTCATGTCACATTTCTCTTACATCTTTGTGAAGTTTTCTATAAATAAAGAGCGCGGATCTTGAAACAGTCGCTAGCATCGATTGCACTTGAGCGTACACGGCTCACTTTGCTTTTAGAACGTGACAAAGCGACACGTCGCAAACGATATTGTCTGCTTAAATGAAAGGACAGTAGGGAGATATAGAAGAAAAGGCGCGAAAGGGCAATGGCATTCTTTTATTTCCGTAGACAATAGGTATATTGCGTTTTTACATTGTACGATGATCACAATGTGTTCGCATCGCGCGATCGAGATAGAGGCACCAATTCTTTTTTTTTTTTAACTAAATGAGAGAGAGAGAGGGAGGGAGGGAGGGGAGAGCGAGAGAGAGGGAGAGAGAGAAGGAGAAGAATTCACTCTTCCTTTTCTCATATCGCGATGTGAAAAGATGAAAAATGTGAAATATGGAATATAAAATAAATAAAACGTATTCTCTTTGTAAAGATTTATCTCATTCAATTATCTAAAAGACAATCCATTTATGCTGATATTTAATGGTATTCGTCCATGAATATCTAAATATTCTTAAGATAAAAGGAAATCAAGGTTTCTTTTTCTTCCCTTATACTACATATGTCCATTATCAATCTTAGTCACTATCGTAATCTTAGGCGTATCATGCAAAATCATATATGTTTTTCGAAGTTCTAGATGTACTCTATGTAAAAGACTCAACAAACTGTCAACCTTTCTTTTTGAGACACGAGAAGCTTTCTGTTAGGGTCACACGCAAGAAAACTTCATCAAACTCGTCTGATTCATTATCATCCACAGAATCTGTATTTTCTGTTAAATCTGTATTTACATTATTGTTGTTACCGGGAATATTGCCCTGACACAGATTATTATCTTTCATCTGTTCTTGTTCAAGTTGTTCAGGTTTGTTTATATTAATCTGCATCTGATTCTCTCAAATTTAGAACTTCCCCTTCATAAGCATGATGAGACGCCTCAGATGATTCACTTGATTCATTATATTCATTTAATTTTAATCTCAATTTACGCTTTCTCTCAATTTGCTTTCTTATGATCCGCTCATGACAATTCTATATTTGAAAGGAAAATGTATTTTTATAAAAATAATAGAAATCACACAATCAATCAACGATATTCAGACACTCTAAATTTCAATACTATTAATAAATGACTTTAATGTTATAATATAAAACATACAATACACACGGTAATGTCTCGATGCTAAGAAAACGCGTAGCGTTTTAAAGCGAGACAGTACTGTATCTTTACGCGGAATGGTGAGTTTTACCAGATCTCAAATATTATATCTCAATAATGGCTATGCCGAAATAAATTCTATGTATAGTCAATCGATAGACTATAGAAATATAATATTACAATATAGAAATAAATTATAAATATAAAGGGTGTCCCAAAATTAACGCAAGATTTGAATTTGCCGCCATTTGTGCAGTAAAGTGTTGGCATCCCAAAAAAAAAACAATTTAACAGCTGACAGTTTAGGGTTAGTGAAAATGGAGCGTGAAAATGGATTATTGAACATCAACAAATGGATGCTGATTTTTCGAGCAAAATCATTCTAAGCGATGAAGCACATTTTCACCTTGATGGCTTTGTTAATCGCCAAAATCGCCCCCTAGATCGTGTGATTTAACACCATTAGATTTCTTTTTATGGGGTTATTTGAAATCACAGGTCTATGTCAACAAGCCCACAACCACCCGTGCATTAAAGGAGGAGATTCAACGCTGCATCAACGAAATTCAGCCACATTTATGCAAAATGGTCATGGAAAATTTCGACAAACGAGTGCGTATGTGCATGCAAAGCCGTGGAGGCCATTTGCCCGATGTGTTATTCCACAAATAACCCTATCCTATGTACTTTATGATTCAATAAAAAAATAACAATCAAAAGACTAAAAACTGTGTTTTCTATTTAATTCAAATCTTGCGTTAATTTTGGGACACCCTTTATTATACTTAAAATACCATCCATGTAAAAATAAAATATGTAATGACCGTTAAAATTTTATTCTAAGAACCGCGTCAAAACAGAACATAAACAATTTTTAAGTTAGCTATTACAAGGGTAGTCCCAGAAGTACCCGACCTGACGTACAGATGGCGGTTGTTGTATAAAAAAAATCACTATAGGGGAAAGCACCAACTTTCTAAAGCTTAACTATGAAGTTTGAAGACGCTAAGTTATTCAGTATTTGTTTGGCAGCCATTAATAGTAATACGATCTCGGTGAATTTACAAAGATGGAAAAAATTGGTCATCGTTATGTGATACAATACTTTCATTTGAAAGGTCTTAGCCCAACCAATATCAAAGCCGAGCTGGATTCTACTCTGGAGGAGTCTGCTCCTTCGTTTACAACAGTAAAATATTGGGTGGCAGAGTTTAAACGAGGCCGTACGAACTGCGAAGACAAACATCGCAGTGGTCGACCAAGTGAGGTGGCCATTCCAGAAATGGTGAAGAAAATCCACAAAATGGTATTGGGTGACCGTCGATTGAAAGTGCGCGAGCTAGCATGGTAAACATTTCAAAAAGTGCTGTACATCGCATATTGGTTGAAAATTTGGAGATGAGAAAGCTGTGCGCAAGATGGGTGCCGCGCTTACTCACAATCGAACAAAAGCAGCGTTGAGAGGATGTTTCAATCGAGTGTTTGGCAGCAGTAAAGCCGAATTTTTGCGCCGATTCATAACCATGGATGAAACATGGGTCCACCCTTCACACCTGAAACGAAGGAACAGTCGAAGCAATGGACTGAAAAGGGGGACTCGGCTCCGAAGAAAGCAAAAACAGTTCCATCGGCAGGCAAGATCATGGCGTCAGTTTTTTGGGATGCGCGTGGCATAATTTTCATTGATTACCTTCAGAAAGGAAGAACAATCAATGGCGAGTATTATGCGAACTTATTGCAGCGTTTGGGTGATGAAATCAAGGAAAAACGGCCACATTTGGCGAAAAAGAAAGTGTTGTTTCATCAAGACAATGTATGGATGTAGTTCACACATCCATTATCGCGATGGCCAAAATCAATGAGTTAAAGTTCGAATTGCTTCCCCTCGCACCCTATTCGCCAGATTTAGCCCCCTCGGATTATTTTCTCTTTTCAAACTTGAAAAGATGGCTCGGTGGTAGAAGATTTATCAACAATGAAGAGGTAGATTTTGCGGTTAATGGCTATTTTGAGGAGTTCAACGGTTCTTATTATAAACAGACCATCGAAGCTATTGAACATCGCTGGGAAAAGTGTATCGAGCTAAAAGGAGACTTTGTTGAGAAATAAAGATATTTTTTCCCAAATTTTTTGTGTTTTCTTTGTTAGGTCGGGTACTTCTGGGATCACCCTCGTATTTAATCAATCTTTAAAAATAAAAAAGCTAATGGCAAGTACATATATCACTATTTAAATTTCTCTAAAATACTCACATATATATGAATGGTGTAGAAATTCCGTATCCGATTGTAGATTCAAGCTATTGGTTTGTAATTGAATATTTAGCATTTCAGAGGTCTTTTATTCAAGTGTCTTTCTATATCTAGAATTTTTATATTTTCCCATAGCTAGACAGATTTCTTGGATTCCCATTTACATTTGTAACCCTTTTTAAAAAACAAAACAATTATTTTTATTGGTTCTCTAAACAAGAACGTAAGAGAATTGGCAAAAAGATGAAGTAGTTAATTTATGAGCAGAATGTGGAGAAACTAAAGAACATAAAACCTATTCATTATTTTAATTCATGTGCAGACTTTCCAGAATCACAGAGAAATTTGAATAATTTCTCCTATGGTCTTTTGACCTCTCCACAGAATAATGAACAATGAAAAAATCTTTATTCATTCAATTAATTTTCCAACAGATAACATTCATTCTTCTTTAACAAAAAATGGTTGATTTAAAAGTCTTATAAATAATGATTCCAACGGAGATTCCTATGCCTATTACAATTAGGAAGCAATTTTGCTCTCTCTTCAAATAACACAAAGAAAGATTGCTTCGAATTCATAAAAAACATAGAAAATGGTATTAACATATTATCGTTATATCTAAGAACTACAGTCAGGTATCGTTCTATATCAATTATTGAGAATGTGGCCTCTTTTTTACATACTAAAAATGTAATTAATCACAGATTATCATTCTTAAATCTACTAATCTTTAATAAAATCTATTAATCTTTTCTCGTCAAATATAATCCTAATATCATCTTTACTAGAGCGGACAATGGGACACCACTGTTACTCTTAATAGGAATGAGTATACGGTTAATGTTAACAATATGTTATAAGATACCGAAACATATATAACTGTGAGTAGGAATCCAACTTCGAGTCTTGTAAAAAAAGTCGCAAGTTATGTTTAAAAGTTAGAAAAGCAAAGAATATATTTTTAGCTCAACATATATAAAATTGTATCACAGTAATTAGATATTGCCAAGAGCCTATGCACTTCCAAAAACACACAAAACAGGATTACAATTTAGAATAATTATTTCATACATAGATAGTCCTTTATATTTTTTGTCGTCTTTTACAAGAAATTATCAGAAAATGTATTCCCAAACCACAGAGCCATATAGACAACAGTTTCATGTTGATAAAAAAATTAAATAGAAAAATTATTGAGGAATTTGCCTTGATCTCATTAGATGTTCAAAAACATTCCTGTTGATTTGATCATCAATTGCTTAGCAGAAAAATGGGAGCATATCGCCAAAATAACTAAGATTCCAAAGAAGAATTTTTAATGGCTGTTTAATTGATTTTACATTCAAGCTTTTTCACATTTGATAATAAAATTTATAGACAGAAATTTGGTACACTCATAGGCTCTCCGCTTTCTCCCATCTTGGCAGATTTAGTACTTGAATATTTAAAGAATAAAACATTGGAGAGTTTGGGAGTTAAACTACCTTTTTACGTTAGATACGTCGACGATATCGCGATGGCAGTTCCATATGAATCAATCATAGAATTCTTGATATTTTCAACTCACTAGAATTCATACACACAAGAATTCAGTTCACATTAGAAGTAAGAGGGGAAAAATTAAACTTTCTTGATGTAACACTAATTAAGAACTGTGTAATTGAATTCAATTGATATCATAAATTGACATTGTTTAGTAGATTTCTGAACTTCCATTCTCTCCACCCCTTGTTGCAAAAGGAAGGCATAATTATCGGCAGATAGAGTTATTTTGTTGTCGTATCCTAGACATTATACAAAAAACATAGAACTAATAGTCAGAATCTTTCTTGAGAATGATTATCCACTGAATTTCATTTTCAACACGATCAATCTAAAATTGAAATCATTGATTCATAAAGTGACGTCACAAGTTAATAATGATGTGGAGGATGAGACTGCAAAGAAATGTTGGTTCATGGTTCCCTATTTACCTTCAATTTCAGAGAAAGGGTATAGCAGGATAAGGAGGTGATTTCAGGCTCCAGCACGTAATGGATTGCTACAGAGGACAAAATTAACACACTGATGAAAGAATATTTTATGCAAAGTTTCATTCCAAAAGAGCCACACCGTTTCGAGATATCGAACAAAATATGATTTTTCATTAGTATTTTTTTTCTCTTTAAATCTAAATGGATCTTTATAAAAAAAATTATAGGTATAAAGAGTATCAAAAACATTAAAGTAAGAATTTTTTTGTCATTTTTTAAAATTCTGTTTTTAAATAATTCAAGAATTTTAAAAATTGCATTTTTTATACGAATGTTTTAAAATAACTTTTAAAATAATTCAGCAGCTAAATTTTATCGTAAATAATATTCGTGATTTTTTTAGATTTGGTGGAACATAAAAAAAATTAAAACCGTTTTTTCCAACATAAAATATTATATTATACATTAATTGACATATTTTAAGTAGTTCTTAAATGTAATTTTACTTACCTTCGGTCCCACTTCTGCAGACAATAGTTTAAAACTTTAATATTATAAAATTCACGTAGGTCACGTAGGTAAAATATATGGTTTATAGAATTTATTTATTTACAATCATTATTTTATGCAAAATAATAATACTTTCAAAGACATTTTTTAATGAATTATCAAATACTACATTAATCTTCATCGCTGTCTTCATGTATGACAGGCTCAACTTTTTCAACATTGAAAAGTTTTAATAACACTTCTGCTGGCTATTATACGAGATAAATATCTTACGTGTGTCAAATAATATATAATTGCTGTAACGTATGAGCAACATACAATCGTTCTTCGTCCATTTGCACAGTCACACGAATAACATTGGATACCATCTTTTCCAACTGCATTTGACGTGTATTCTATGTAGCACTTATATGTTTTCCGATTGATATGTCGTGATTTGACTTCGAACTTAATTATGTTTTTATTTTGCCTTAAAAAGTTAGCATTTATGTTTCCGTCATCGTCCATAATCTCTGCTAAGTAAGAGACTGTCTGTGACAATTGATAAGAGCTCGTGAATAAAATTTTTAGGTCGTTTTTCGTCATTTCCGGAAAATCCATTAATTCAACTAAAGACAATTTTTCAAAAGGTAATTTTTATCGACTTCACCTTTTGTGTTTCTACTTCTGTTACTAATGTATTGTCATAATTTCTTTTCGAGATCATATGATCCACAATTTGTTCGTAAATGCCCACATCTGCATTTAAGCGTTTACCAAATGCATTGATAAGAAAGCAGGCTATTTTGCAATAAGAAACAGCACTATGGAGTGATTTGTTATCCAACTGATGATGCTTGAATTTTTGTGTATCATCCTATGCACAGCTTCAATGACTCAACGCACTTTTGTAATTAAACGAGATTTGTTTGATTCTTGTCAATTGCGGTTTCCTTTTAGCGCAGGCATAAGTACTCGATAACCTTCATTTTCCAAGAATTTTTTCACGTCTCTGAAATCTCGATCTAGTATAAAAATATCGCTTTTTTCAAAATACTATGCAAACCATTTAAATCAGATAAAATAATTTTCAATATCTGAGCGTCATTGTGCGTGGCATAAAAAGGCCCAGGGACATCAATCACAAATCTATTTGTGATACAAATTGTGAATGGTTTGCACAAAGGCACTTTTTTCTGTCTTGAATATGACTTCCTTTGATATTTATTCGTTATTTGAGCTTTTTTTGTGCTAATATACGACCCATATTATAGCTAATTGATTCTCTACACCATATAATTTATTAACATAAACAGATGTTTGATTATGAATGAGATCATTTCGGGAACAGGCTTGAACTCCAAAATGTAATTGCAATATATTTTTTTCAAAAGATTTTATCACAGATTCACAGAAGTTTGATACTTGCTGCTCGTATTCAAGCTGGAGTATAGAAGCAATCAATTTGTTTGAATTGCCGCTTCTCAATTTAAATAAAAAAACAACTAGAGCGATATTTCTGTTTTCAGAATTACTCATTGAAATCATCATGTCATATAATTGTATGATATTTTACCAAATAAGAATCTGTAAATACTTCAATTTGTTCTTTAGAAAGTGAAAAATCACTTATTTTGTCATGAATACTAGAATCACATCTGACAGATAATTGTTCTAGATATTTACTCAATTCTGTTATTTCTATTCTACTATAATTTGAAACAACGCGTAAGTTATTGAAATCATCATCATAAAACCGTTTTTTAATCAAATGTTTTAAACAGCATTGATTTTTATTCTGAATAAATATGCGTTTTTTTAATGAAAACTTGCATACGAACTTTAAATGGAATAAGCAAACGTCCTGAGATCGATGAACATACGCAGTATCTCTCAGTTATGATCACTCTTGTAAACGGCATTTTGACTATCTCGATTGATGCTAGATTTTCTAAACAAACGTATGTTGGATTTGACGCCGTTGATGACTGAGAAGTTTGTGATGATGATTGCAAAGACTCTTGTGACAATTGCAAATTCATTGCCGCAAAATCATTGTTTCCTGATGTTTTTTTACTTAATATCAAATAAAGGTATGGGCGACAATTTCTGCACAACGTATCACCTATTTTTACTGATTTATTTAGCGAATTGGCTAAACTGCTTGCCTCCAAGTCTGTAGTAATATGTTGTACTCTTCCACTTATTTTTCGAAGATATTTAATACATCTTATACATTTTTTATTAAAGTCCTCTGTTGGCTCATCCTTGCTGCAAACAAAAGGATACGAAAAATAAGTAAAAGAATGTATATAAAAGAATTATCAATAAATGTAATATATATATATATATATA